GAGCCTGACATTCCCACCATTGAAACCAGCTCAATGCCTGATCTTCCATCGTTACCACTGCAACATCAATTTTATCTTCTTCCTCCGCATGATTCAATCGGAAATAACGATTCATCCTTCCAGCCGTATGTTGATTTCTGTGATTTTTGCGATGATCGCGGTCATGTTGCGATGCAGCATGATCAGAATGAGTATCCGATCCTTAAGAGCTATCATTATGCCTCGCGTGTCTGTGGTGAGAAGAGCGATGCGATGTATTTGAATGATGCGATTGGCTTCGTGATCGTCCTGGAAATCTGTTCTGCATATGTGCGATGCTAGCTTGCATAACGGCCATAGTCATCGCCATATTAGCTTGCATCTCCCTCTGATTCCTCTCCATACTCGCTTGCATCTCCCGCTGATTTCTTTCCATTTCCGTCATACGTCCTTCCATTTTAGCACGCGTTAAGGTCATCCAGCGATCAACGTTTTCTGATACCACTGATAGAGATATCCAGAAATACAATAAAATCACAGAACGTTGTGGAGAAAACCTCACAAATCTTTATTGAATATGAACAGGAAAACAATGGCCGTAGCCCCCAAAGAGAGAGTAATCTCAATCTTCCCAGTCCCAAGACAAAGTCTAAAACAGCCTCCCTTCCTTTCCCAGCCTTATTCTATTTATAGTAGTCCGGCTCAACCGACTTTAGTTATTAGCTACTACAGAATTTTAACTAATGGCTACTAGTCTATTTAATAGTCTAACAGGTCGATCCCTAACAGATTTCCCACTCTTACGTTATTTGTACATATCAGTATTTTCTCAATTTAATTGCTATATGCCCTTATGTTAGGAAAGCTTATCTTAGGACTTAGGAGTTTTAGTCCCACTTATAGGCCTTGAGCAGTCACTTTTCTATGGTCCAATTATAAAATTTTTGCTTCTTGTTTCTTCATACATGTTTATTTTGTAGAATGTTTTGAAAATAAATGAAAGGTAACGGAGAGTCTCTCCGTGAGTCTCTCTCCAGACCCCCATTTGTGGGAGCTTTGGCACATGGAATTGATAACAATTTGATGGTTATGCCCTTTTTCTAAGAATGTTAAAGTATGGCCTTTCCTTCATGTTCTGAAAATAGTCTAGTAGAAAGCATCTTTTTAGGAACTGTTATTAATCCTAATAAATGCTCACTCTGGTTGTGTGCAGTTTTTAAAGATGAAGGGAAAAATAAAAAAAGGAATTCCAAAGAAAGAAAAGGAACTGCCTCTGTAAAATGCTACTTTGTACAGATGCAGACTATTGGTCATGCAAAACAAAGCTTCCTTTTACAGGGAAAAACAGTCCACGATGCAAGGTGTCTTTTCATGCATGTGCACATGGTTTCAAGCATGGCTAAATATATGGCGAGGTTTTTCTTATGCCCTGCCTAGTAACAAGTTACTTCAAGTGTTTAAAGTTTTGATGTACTTTGTTGGTAATGCAGGTTTTCTCTTATATTATCGAAGACTGTCAAACTCCCCATTGACTTAGGACCGCTAGGGGATGTAAGAGTATATGAAGTCGAGGATACATATTGCCGCGTATGTTCATATGAGCATATGGCTCTTCCCTTTTGATATTACACCAACACTTATCTATCTCAAAATGTTGCACTTCTTTTATGACTATTTTGCATGGGAAATCTGTAGGATGAGTTTGGATCCATTCTCCATGATGAAGATGGGGCACCTCTTGTGCAAACTGATGGAACAGGTTTTATATCAGAAGACCTGGCAAGGAAGTGCCCCAGTAATTTTTACAGAGTAAAGCATTTGAAAGATGCTAATTCTGAGGTAGTCTTTATGAAGTATTCTGGTGGAAGGAAGAATTGTACTTTTAATAGTTCATGTTTGTATCTGTTAATCTATTTTCCTTAAATTCGTGTTTGTAATTTTCCTGAAGACCATCAACAGTCAGAAACTTGAAGAGTCAGAATATCAGAACAGGGAACCGGTAATCATTTCATGGTTAATAGATGACAATTAATTATTAATCTAACCAATACATTTGCATGGCTTGTATATCACATACCAGTTAACCTCATTTTCCCCTTTCTAGCCGTTGTTGATGCAATGTCGTCTCTTCTACAATGGCCGTGCAGTTAAAGGAACACTTCTTGTTGATAGACGGGTAAATGTTTATTTGTTTAGTCTTACCAAGTATCCTGAAGCACCAACATATAAATACATTATACATCAACTTTCTTTGTCATAATGTTAGACATAGTATCATTTATTTTGCTAGAGGGGTCAGAACTTTGTGACATTGCTTATGCTCATTTCTGGAATCTTTTTTAAATAAATTTTGAAGACTTGAAAGATATAGAATGAAACACATAATTAAATTTGTTATATACTACTCCGTATTATTCAATTATTAGTCCATTAAATTGTAATTATTAACGGATTTATGTGTAAACATTTCCCTGAACTTATGGGCCTATCCCCTCACTCATGGGCCTATCCCTTCACTCTATAAGAGGAGCATTTGGCTCTCATTTAGAAGGAAAATTTTCCACATCCTCTCTCTTGAACCTCACATTACATACACATGAATAAAGAAATAACCTTTCGATCACTTGTGTTTCCTACTCTTTACATATTTTTACAATCAGATCAAGGATTTTATGTTGGGTCATCCCCTAAAATCCAACATTTGTCCTTTGAGAAGTTTTAATTTCCCATTTAGCTTTTAGTAATGATTTCCTGACCATTTCATATTTTTGCTTCTATTAATGTATTAGCTCACAGATAGGTCAATTCATGTTAGACCCTCTATGATCAAGGTTGGTGCAGATCCAGAACTATTTCGCACACAAACATTTAACTCGCTTGAGATAGTAGCCATCAGGTAAGGTTTAATTTTAGCAGTTAAGGAAACTCTATAGGAAATGAAATGCTTAGAAACTGTATAGCACCTTACTCTTCATGACTAGTGACTAGAAACTGTATCCATCACTGAAACAGATTGGTGATAGTGGGATGAAAGGAAAAGCATTTTCGAGTATACATTTTATATGTTGCATATCTAGCAGGTATGAATGGCTGTTTAGTGAAAGCAAAACTTATTGCACCTTAGGATCCCAAGAGTTTGGATACATAACTAACCCTTGGAACTCAGGCAGAAGGATGTGTGTCCCTGGCAGTGGTGTATCCAAAACTATTACATTAGGGGGAAAATATATAGTATTAAAAAATAGAAACATTAAAGCATAAACATTAATATGAACAATTAAATAAGGATTTATCTACACTCGAGACATAATCATTAATGTGAACATTCATATTCTCTTGCATGAATTCAAACCATAGTGAAATACGTTCTTTCGATATATCATTGCTAAAGTAGTCATGAATTCAAATCTCAATGTGTTTCATTGTATTGCATAAAGTGTTTGTTGAAAATTAATTATTGGAACTTATAAATTTTTTGTTAACTTCACAAACCAATTAAATACATCAATGAAGATGCATTATGCTTTATTCTTTTATTATAGCTCATGCACAATATGGTGGAATTGCTCCCTTATTTTCAAAATTTATCTATATTAAGACAGTCATACAATTACTAGATAAGAAAAAAAGCCTTGTGATAGCCCCCCTCTGCCCCTCATATATAGCTCGTTCTTCTGTGCCAAGGGTTCGAACTCGACATTTGCTTTCTCTGAACAGGTGAGTTGTTTTCCTCATCGTTAGTAGTCGTTTTATCTATTTCGAAGTCATCAATCATGGATCTGCTTTTCTTCATAGTTGTCATCACACTTTCATCTCAACAATCACGGTGCCAATAACACGCGCCCCATTACTGAACCACCATCCTTCTCTGTGCGGATATGGGGATTGGGAAACAAATTAGTGCATTTATTATGGAAAGTGTTGCTGTTGGTGGTTCCCTGCTTCTATATGGGGAGCGCAAGTTGTCGAGTGCCTGGTCATGAGAGGCAGGTGCTTGGGTGGGTGTCACCGGGTGAAAGATGGTGTCTTTAATCGGAGGATTCAGCGGAGGGCTGGTTTTGTGGGATCTTTTTTTCTCTATTTTTTCATATATGTTTCAGGAGTATGTATGGTAACCTCTCTAAAGATATTATTTTTGTCCGCGTTTGTTGGTCAAAGATATTACATTGATTGATGAGACACAATCAAGTATTCAAACAAAGTTGGAAGTATGACGACAAACATTAGAAACCAAAGGTTTCAGACTGAGCCGAGGCAAGAATGAGTATATAAAGTGCAAGTTTGGTGGAAGTAAAAGTGGGATTACCTTTGTTGGCACATAAATACTGGTGTGTGATATGTTCCGTTACTTGGGCTCCATAATTCAGAAGGATCGTGAATTAGATGGAAGTGTATCACATAGAATCAAAATATGGTGGATGAAATGGAAGAGTGCATCAGGATTTTTATGTGATCGAGGTATGTCGGCTAGACGGTAAATTTCATCGGACAACAATTATGTCTGCATTAATGTATCGAGTAGAGTGTTGAGCGATGAAACAATGTCACATTCGAAAGATTAGTGTGTCATAGATGCGTATGTTGCTTAGATGTGTGGACACACCAGAAAAGACCGCTTGAGAAATGAGATAATCAGACAAAACACAGAAGACAGACAAAAGGTGAGAGTAGCACCTATAGAAGATAAGATGGAGGAGTCTCGATTGTGGTGGTTTGGTCATGTGCGCATAAGATCGAGTGATGCACCAGTTAGACGACTTGAGAGGCAGGGAGAAGAGGGAGAGAAAGACCCAAACAGACTTGGATCGGAGGAATTAGAACTGATTTGCTTCTTCTTGGGTTGGATGAGACTAAGATTTTGGAGAGAGCAAAGTGAGGGCGCATATTCGTGTGGACGATTGACCTCATCCTCCTCCTCCAATATTTATCTTTATCTTATCTATATTGGCTCTGATATCATGGATCGATTCATGTTAACCGACTCCAAATTCTTTTGGGAATAAAGCTTAGGAAGGCAATTATATACCTGGTCATCACAGGGCTTACTTAGCTGCTCGTTATCACTTCGTACTTTTCATTCTTAATTGGTTTAAGCTATACAAGTCGTACCTTTTTATGTGAACAAAATTTCCTTGATTCAGACCTAGTCACCTGACCATTAGAAACTCTCAGAGGATCTCTCTATTGTTAATTTGGTTCCACATCACCCCTCCTCTTCTTCAGGAAAGAAATGAGCCATAATGAGCAGTGTAGGAAATTACTAACAATTTCTAAATCAGGAATATATGTTTATCTAGCAGTCTAGCACCATAGATCACCATCATCGAATTACTCAAATTTTACACAATTAATTTAATTTTATGAAATATGGCACACACATTACTATTATAATAGCTACACAATGTAGTTAAAAATTATAAACGAGGTGTACACATGTGTCTGTAGAATGACTTTGACCTTTTAATATCATGCCAATTTCATTCAGTGGTGAGCTTTGCAATGACCTGTGCTGTTCATTTCCCTGTCAACATTTTCTCTTTGTTCTCGCCTTAGAGCGAGCTATTTCCATGGATTTGTGTGGACGTGACACTGTTTTATTTTCCAGTCATAAACCAAAGAAAGCCCATCTATCAAAAACATTGATTGCTCTATTGTGCTATGGAGGTGTTCCTCGGGAATATTTCTTGGAAATACTGAAGAATGCATTGGAAGAGGCACAAAACATATACTCTGATGAGATCTTGGCACTGAAAGGTTATTTGGAGTTCAAACTTCTTAGATTTGTTATAACGTACCAAATAAAAAGCTCATGTCAACCAATTAGTGTTGCAGAGTACCTTATAATATGCATATTGAGCTGTCCATGGCATAATAAATGACAAAATTAACAAAACATTTAATGTATTTTTTTATGTAAAGAAACAACTAAAAAAAAATTAGTATGCACATACGGCATACGTCAATTGAACTTTGTAGTTCGATTTATTCACTTCATTCCCCTCACCGAAGCATGTTATGATATATTGATTCCTGTTTTTCAGTTCTCGAACTTTTGTTTGTCATCACAAAAGTAAAACATCACAATAATGTATTATCATTTCATTTACTTGTAGCTACGTCAAACTATGAAGATCTTGATTATGGTTCCATTGCAAAAAGTATGATTTTATCGGGAGTGCCGCTTTCTGAGCCACATCTTCAATGCTGTCTATCTATGGTGACCAAGGAAGAAAAAAGTGGGCTTAGAGGGGGAAAACTTCCAATTTCTGACAGCTTTTATTTGATAGGGACTGCTGATCCCACAGAGACGCTAAATCGTGATGAAGTCTGCATTATTCTGTAAGTGAACCTGTTCATTTATTTAATGATTTTTAGTGAGAATGGCTTAAGCTTAAAATGAAGTTTTATAGCATGTCTATTAGGTCTGCTATGTTGTCTGGGTCATAGTGTTGATGGTTGATCTGTGAAGTATCAACACATACACAAAATATGAGCAGGCAGAGATGAGAATGTCAAGACAGAGGTTGTTAAGTCTTATTCTTGATAAGAGGAGTAGCCGAGACTTTAGAAATGTTTCTTTGTATCTTGATACTTGGCTAGTATGAGATAACTTAACATGCTCCACAAGATGATGACTCTTAAGAGCAGTCGTGCATACCAGTCCTAAAGTTCGTGTGCTTGTTGTTGAGGTTTATCAAGATTTAATTGTTCATTAGAGCTCAATTCCCTCTAATATCATATTAAGATTTGAAGTGCCATCATAAATGGTCAACTTTAGAAGAGTAGTAACCTAATGATAGCTCTGAAACTTGTAGTGTGGTATCCTTATGCTTACCAAGTTCGTATCCTTAAAACAGTTTATTTTGAAAATTTCCCAAAGTAGGAGTAAAAATAATGTAAAATTCCAAATTATGAGTAGTATATTTTTTCCTTCAAAATAAGAGCAAATTACCGTCATCCTGAAATCCTACTGTCATGTTTTGAATACCAGACATTATTAATATGACAATACTAATGCTATAAATTAACAATATTTTCCAAACATGACAGTAACCACTCCTATTTAGGAGAAAAAAACATAGTACTCTTATTTAGAGCAATGTCTGATTTATTTTTTAGGATGTTATTGTTAAGATTTGCAGTCTGTTCATTTTGAGGAGATTATCATGTACTTGAACTTGAATTTCGATTCCCTAATTCTAGTGAAGAAAATTGGAGCAATATTTGAATGAGTAGTCATATTCTAAATCAATTTTACAATAACGGATATTTTTACATTCATTTCTTACATTTGTTGCCTACATTCATAGGTGTCATACTGTCATATAATTATGTGATGTGGAAAAGTTAAATAACTTTTAAACATCTAATAATTGCATGCCACCCACGAATTTAGGAAAAAAACATTACATTGTCCAATTATATAATGTCCATTCCAATGTTTCATCAGTGATCATGGCCAAATTGTTGGGGAAGTCTTAGTCTACAGAAATCCTGGGCTTCATTTCGGGGACATCCACAAATTAAATGCAGTCCACATAAAGGAACTTGATGAGATAGTTGGAAATGCTAAGTATGGAATATTCTTCTCCATAAAAGGGGAAAGATCTGTTGCAAATGAAATTGCTAATGGTGATTTTGATGGAGATGTATACTGGGTCTCTAGGAACCGTGAGGTATACATATTCTTGTTTAATTTTCATTGTTGGCAGAGGCATCTTTTGATTGTTATTAAAGAATATTCCTTAAATAGAATTAAAATGTCACACACACACATTTTTCATATCGGATCATCATTGTTTTTTCCTTTTCTAAAACATGACTTTTGTTCATATCGATTCATGTTAGCCACTTAGCCAGTTAGCCGATCCCAAATTCTTTTGGGACTAAGGCTTGGATGTTGCTGTTCAATCCAAATAAAAGAAATATTACTTAGTTTTATTCCTTCTTTAGGACTGAACGAATCCTATTTTAGTATTTTTGGTAAAGAACAATGATTGTCTTATTTGTATACATAAGACATGTTTGACTCCTATTTGCATTTATAGATCTAATTATCTGCATGCAAAATAGAGGTGTTTGGAATAGTTGGTAAGGCTCTAGCAATTCAACTAAACCATAAAGGTGCATGTATCCCTTCTTTTCCAGTTTTTCTCTATTGCAACTTGTGTAATCAAGAGTTTTCTAGCATGCATTTGCCTTGTAATGGAATGACCACTTCTTAAAATTTGATATCAAAAGACGTTAATAGCTGATTTGGAGAGGAATTCTACATGGGTAAGGCTCATATGTTTTAGTTGCAAAAACGGTTTGTTAATTTACTTCTCCACAAAGTTACAATAATGTTAATAAGATAATGCAATATTTGTTCTTTGAAATTGAACCTTTTTCACTTTTCTATTCAGCTAATTGAAAAATTCAGTACAAGTAGCCCGTGGAAACGTATTTATTCAACTCCTAATCCAGTTAGTAGGAAGCCGAGTGAGTTTTCTACAAAAGAATTGGAGCTCAAACTCTTTGAGATGTTTCTGGAAACAAGAATGCCAAGGTATTTTTTTAATATTACCTTAACATCTTAACAATAGAGTGCATTATGACATTCATACATGTTTGTAGTTCTCTCATATAACATTGATCTTCAAGTTCGTCTAGCTTCAGGATAAGACCTCCAAATGCTTTGTCCGTTTGTCCTGAAATACTTGTCTTTTTTTCGTTATGTCATTCTGCGCATCATCATTGCATGAACCATCACTAACCTTCTTTCTGCAATGATGATGGGACTAAATCAAATACAAATATGGTGGGACTATCAGAATCTCATATTAGGCTTGTATGAATCTCTTATCATCATCATATTAATTCCAATTATGGTTTGATAATGTAAATTAATTTTTTAAAATTAGTTAAACTGTAATTCATGCACAAAAAACATATTGATAATACATGGGTAAGGCTGCGTATATCCGACCCCCTTTTACCCCACCGTAGGTGGGAGCCTTTGCGGCACTGGGGTAATGATGATGATGATGATGATGATGGAGTTAAACTGTAATTCATGCACAAAAAACATACTGATCCATATCAGAAGAGTTCTACACATGCATCTTATAATGAGATAGGACTTGTCATTTGCAGTGCAATCAGTAGAGCCATAACTTTCTTTTGTATATACAATCAGGGAAACTTCTCTCAATAGGAGTAATTACTGCGAAGCTTGGAATATACTGTCATGTTTAAAGCGGAGTAATTACTGCCAAGCTTGGAATATACTGGCATATTTAAAACGGAGTAATGCCAAAACATGACAATAATCACTTCTATTTAGGGAATAAAGACATGGTCCTATTTTGGAATCTAAAAATGTTTTTACTTCTATTTAGGGCAATTTATTTAACAAAATCACCTTGTCTTGGTCCAGTTATAGTATGTCTGCCGCTTCTGACAGCTGGATGGCTCATATGGACAGACTTCTGGTACTTGGTGATAGCTATGCTAGTGAGAAGGAAGCCATAAGGGAAAAAATGTTACATTTGATAGATCTTTACTACGATACTTTAGATGCACCCAAAAGTGGTAAAAAGGTATGTTTCTAGATTTATGTTTATTTGTGTGAAAGTATTTTAGAATATACTTTAAAATATGTTTTAGAATATATTAGGAATATACCATAGATATTATTATTGTATAGAATCTTATATAGGAATATTCTATTTGTAATGTATATTTATAGGGACTTCCACAACTAATGAAATACACAGAAAATCCTTCTCTTCATCTTCAATGTTATTCTAGTTTATATTTCAACATGGTATCAGAGCCTTCTATTTCAGTTTAGTTTTTCTGTTTACCAATCTTCAAGAACCTCTGATCTTCCCAGAACCTCTTATTCTTCCCAGAACCTTTTCTCAGAACCTACTGCTCATCCCAGAACCTTTTCCCAGAACCAGAACCTCAGATATAAGAAACAATTGGGTACCCATCAACCCTTCTCCATTTCAGTTTAGTTTCCATTTATTTTATTTTTGCTTCTTTCAGAACATCCTTTCACACACCATCAACCGAAATATAACCCTCAGAACCTTTGCCCAAAACATACCTCACCCCCCTCATCCTCTGGTTCGCCTGCCCCTGTCGACCGAACATCCGAAGTCCACACGCCCAAATCATCGCGCGTGAGTTACACGCGCCGTCGGAAGCTTCCGCAGCCAACGCACGCTCCGGCGCGTGACGCCGTGTTTCTGGCCGGAGATTTGATCGGAACTCTTCGCCTGAGACTCGCTTGAAAATCCTCTACCAGGTATACTTTACTTCTCTCTCAAGGGACTCAAGGGACGGGTATCTGTGGTTGCCTGGTTGGTCGCTGGGGTCTGGCATCGGACTTCTGCTGCTTCCTCTGGTTGTTCGCATCTGCTGGGGTATCGCATGGGATATTTGTGAACGATCACAGGCTTCTTCACTGATTCTTTGCATATCTGCTGGACTCCGTAGCAGTCAGGCCAAGCAAATTAGACACAGAGTATTTTATTCACCAGCTTTTGAGTCCACAAAACAAGCTGCGGTGAGTTTATATTGAATATATCTCCCTTTGTTTTTCTTTTAACCTAATTGCAGACTTCTATAAAAAAACACAAAAAACAAAAAAAAAACAAAAAAAAATTATGCATTGTACGAGTACATTTGGCAGAAGAGTAATGTGCAATTACCGTAAGAAGCCCGGACACTTGATCAAAGAATGTAGAAAATTGCTGTTCAAAAACCAAGGAAATTAGCTTGCTCATGTTGCTTCCGCTACCAGTTCATCTGATGGATCAATTGCTATTTCTTCAGACGAGTATGCTAAATTTATTTGCTACCAAGAATCTCTAAAGCATTCATCTGTCATCTCGGTAGTCGCAAATTCATGTATTTCAAACACATGTCTTGTTTCATCATCCTCGAAATGGGTTTAGGTCCCACAGATCATATGACTGGTAACCCTAATCTATTCTCATCATTTCACTCATATTTACCTACTTCCAGTGTCACTTTAGCCGTCGGGTCTACCTCACCCGTTCTTGGATCCGGTACTGTTGTACGAACTTCTACATTACCATTATCATCTGTTTTGAGTCTTCCTAATTTTGCATTTAATCTGCTTTCTATCAGTAAAATCACACGTTCTCTTAATTGTTCTGTAACATTTTTTCCTGGATATTGTGTGTTTCAGGATCTGTTAACGAAGCAGACTATTGGTAAAGGACATGAGTCCGCTGGTCTTTATATCTTGGATACATCAATCACAAAAGGTATCTCTTGTCTTGGGGTTGGAAATCTGTTAGAAGCTCATTACCGATTAGGACATCCATCTCTCCCACTAATGAAGCAAATATATCCTCAGTTTAATAGTGTCATCTATACAATGTGAGTCGTGTGAGTTTGCAAAACATCATCGTACCACTTTAAGTCCTCGACTTAATAAACGAGCAAACGCTCCGTTTGATCTTGTTCATAGTGATGTTTGGGGGGCATGTCCTGTTGTGTCCAAATCTGGTTTCAAATATTTTGTTACATTTGTTGACGATTATTCTCGTATGACATGGATATATTTTATGAAACGTCGATCAGAGTTATTTACTCATTTTTTGCATTTTGTGCTGAAATTAAAACTCAATTTAATGTTCCTGTTCGTGTGTTGATGGGAGACAATGCCCAAGAATATCTCTCTGCTCCATTTAAATCTTTTATGCTTCAAATGGCATTATTCATCAAACTTCATGCGTAGACACACCTCCTCAAAACGGAGTCGATGAAAGAAAGAATCAACATCTGTTAGAAACTGCAAAGGCTCTTCTGTTCCAAATGAATGTGCCTAAACAGTTTTGGGCGGATCCCGTGTCTACCGCATGTTTTTTGATAAACCGTATGCCATCTTCTGTTTTAAACGGTAAAACCCCTTATCACTTCTTATTTCCGAATAAAGAGCTTTTTCCTATCCCACCTAAAACATTTGGTTGCACTTGCTTTGTTAGAGACGTTAATCCTCATCTTACAAAGTTAGATCCCAAATCATTAAAATGTATTTTCTTGCGTTATTCTCGACTTCAGATGGGGTATAGATGTTTTTGTCCAAGTACATGTCGATATCTTGTTTCCATTGATGCATCATTTCATGAAAATACACCTTTTTCATCATCCAAGATAGATATTCATGGGGACAATGATGAAATACTCATTTACTCTGTCACTATACTGGAATATACACCTTATGTAGTTATTCCACATGTTACTGTTCCCGACCCTAGACCTCCAGTACATTTGGTTTACACCCGTCAAAACAGAGCACCAGATCACCCCCACCTGTGACACCTGTGATTACTTATCAAAATAACTGACATTGCAAAGCAAATAGAGTGGCATTGTTGGCTGCGCATATAGATAGCTTAGTGAGGGATGTGGGTTCCATCCCCGCGTGAAACTTTTTTTTTAAGCAGTGGATTGGGCGGGTCTGGTAACATAGCTATTAATAAGCTTTTGTAATCTTGAAATATATAGGTCAATATTCCCAAAGATCTGAAGGTGGATAAGTTACCACATTTCATGGCAAAAGAACGTGATTCTTATCACTCAAAATCTGTCCTGGGAGAAATTTATGACATTGTTGTGGCATACGAAACCAAAACGACACCGCTTGTTGGTAAGCGATAGTCTAAATCACATATGAAGTTGCAATGCTTAACAGATAGGAATGCCCTAATGCAGTTTGTATTAATTAACTGTGTCAACTGTCCAGAAATTGAGAAAATAGCTTGCTTTAGCATCAAGGTACCTGATGAATGTATGAGGGTATGGAGGAAGAGGTACAACGAGTACAGAGCTGATATGGCGGAGGCACTGAGCTCTTGTGGTGAATCCAAGAATGATTTAGCAAATGAAGTCATCAAGAAATACAAGCAAGTGAGTTTTTTCTTTTCAATTTTAAATGCTTCAAAGAGTCGTTCCGTTAGGATCTCAATGAAATCTGGAAATCACTAGGGAGAGGAAATAAAAAACAAAGTAGAAAATGGATCTTTAGAAGGGAGATTTTTGAGGAATGTAATTTTTTTGTCTACTAAAAAGAATCATTTTTAATACCATACATGTAAAGTATTTAAAATGTCCAATCTGAATTGATTTTCCAATGTAAAACCCATTTTCTTTAGTATTTCTTCCCCTTTCTCTACATTTTCAGGGTTGTAAACATAGCCTTATTGTCACCAGAAATGGGTAAATCATCTCTTGTAATGATGCAGTTATTATACGGGGCTGATGAGTTGGAGGAAAGTGGGATGAATTTGAGAGAGATATATGACAATGCGCTTGCTATTTATCATGTTTGTTATGATCACGCAAAAGCCGTGTCGGATGTTAGAAAATGTGGCTTCACCTGGAGAGATATATGACAATGCGCTTGCTATTTATCATGTTTGTTATGATCACGCAAAAGCCGTGTCGGATGTTAGAAAATGTGACTTCATGCCGAGCTTCAGGCGAAGGAGAATAATAATAATGGGAAAGCCATGGTCATTTCTCCTGCCATGCTGCAAAAAATCTTACACATGCGAGTATAGAATAGAGAAAATATATACGTATACACACATATTCGTATGTGTGTCAGTGTCTGTGTGTGTTTATGTACCCTTCAAATTTATCATAGACGGATGATATGTCAGAATTAGCAAAGTAAATATCAAATTATCATGACATATGTTAGATTTTGTGCTACAAATTCTTTAGATTTTGTATCCATTTTGTATCCATCATCACCGTCATCGTCACCATCATCGTCATCATCATCATCATCATTATACTTTGAACTAGGGATGGATTCTGTTCGGGCCACCCGGCCCGTGACCCGGCCCGGCCCGGCCCGGTACTGTGCGGGCCCGGGACCGGCCCGGTCGAGCGGTCCGGGACCGGGTATGGACCCGAACCGATGGGAAGGGAAGGGGCGGGGGCGGGCTCGGTTCTGGATTTTTGTGACCCGGGACCGGTCTATTTTAAAAAAAAAAACTTTTTTTTGTTTGGTTTGGCTACTAGCCGTTGGGGCCTTGGGGGTGGGGTTGGGGACAACCCAAATGGCTATATAGCTGTTGGGTGGGGTAAAGTGGGGGTCCGGGGGGGGGGGGGGTTGGCTGGTGGGGGTGGGGGGTAAAAAAACCTATAAATACTCCTAATCTTAAACATTTTTTCATCTCTTCTCCAATTCTTCCTAAATCCTATTCTTAACTCTCTACTCTCTAATTCTCTTATTCTCCAATATATTATATTTATTATTTATATATCTACTTTATAGTTTATACTTAAGAAGTTAAGATGGAAAATCAAGATGCCATTATACGGTATAATTTTGATAAGCAGAAGGACCCGAAGACCGGGATGTGATACGCAATTTGCAAATGGTGCGAGAAAAAATGTAACATGGGGGCTTCAGGCGGATTCGGGATGGCAATCAAGCATATGAAGTCATGTGACAAAGCCAAAGGATCGGGAGGTGCGGGAAGTTCCGATTGATTACAATTTTCAAAATGTTTATCTCTTAAAGTTTGTTTTAATTTTCAAATGTAGTTCCTATTTCATTTCAAATAAATGCAATTGAAGTTTGTTTTTAATACTCGTATAAAACTATAAACTATAAAATATAAATTATTAAAAAAAAAAATTAACCGGCCCGGCCCGAACCGGACCCGACCCGTGACCCGGGCGGGTGGCCCGGCCCGAACCGGACCCGACCTGACCCGTGACTTGGGCGGGTGGCCCGGCCCGAATCGGACCCGTCCAACCCTCGGGCCGGTCCCGGGCCCACTATTCTTGAACCGGCGGCCTGACCGGGCCCGACCCGGCCCGAATCCATCCCTACTTTGAACATGGTATCAACAACCAAAGTAGGGATGGACCTGGGCCGATCCGGTTCCGGGCCGGGCGGGCTTTTTTTGTAGAATCATGGGCCCGGAACCGGCCCGGGGTGATACCGGGTCCGGTCCGGGTCGGGCCTACCTGGCCGGGTTGTGGGCCGGTTCGGGCCGGGCCGGGCTCGGGCTATTTAATTTGTTTTTTAATTCAGATTAGTTGAACATAAAAAATTTAAACTGTATTAATTTGAAATATATAGTACAATTGGAAATTGAGCAAAAATTACAACATGAAATACACTTTTTAATAAATAAGAATCAATCAGAATTTCCGCCATCTTCAGTTGTTTCTTCCATAAAGTGGTGGGTAGGTTCAGTGCTAATTTCTTGAGTTCTACGTTTGGCCTTCAACCAATCGTGGAAGCAAACAAGCGTTTCAAGAGAGTTTGCGCTCAATCTCGTTCTATAATCCGTTAGGACGTTGCCGGCCGCACTACACTCTTGTTCCACAGCAACTGTTGATACGGGCATTGCTAGCACTTGTTTAGCCATCTTTGATAAGATCGGGAACGTTCTCTCTTTTTCCTTCCACCACTGAAGAACGTCAAACTCATCCCCTTCTTCATACTCAACAGGAAATGTTAGATACAAACAAAGCTCGTTGATCAAGCTTTGTTCATTAACCGGAGTTGATTTACTTTTTTCCATAAGATTGCCAAATGCAGATTTCAAAATTGATTTTCCTTTAGATGAAGAAGATGTTCGTGGCGGGGGAGGGGTGCGTTACCATATTGTGCATGAAACTCATTAAATAATTGATATAATAAATTACTAACCTCTTGAAATTGTTGTTTTGGGTCTATAGCCTTGTCGTCGTACATAAGCAATGGACCAAAAAAAGAAGCATAATAGTAATCTAAACATTGCTCCAAAGCAGCAAGTTTAAAACGAGGATCAAGAATAAATGCAATACTATATATATGCGGAATATAGGAATAATATTTTAAAAACTTTTGTTTTATGAAGTCACAAAAATAACTAACGTAAGCGGCATCAGCAAATTCACAAAAAGCGCCGGCGAGATTAACAGCTTCAACAAAAAATTGGTTTGCGGTAGGTTTATAAACATGACTAAAAGTTTGAGTTGCATTATTAAAATACACCAAAACATTCAAAACTTTTTCACAAGTGTCGATGTCGGCCGGGTTTATAATATAGTTAGCATATTCTTTTAAAAAAGCAGGAAAATGGGTTTTAAATCTAATAAGCACCTTAATTAAGTTATAAGTATAGTAATAGTCGTGTGTAGGACTAAAAGTAAACCTAAATCCCTAAATAGGACTACAAGTTTTTAATTCCCTAAATAGGACTCCGGATTACCATTATACCCTCCTATATAATAACATCAAAATCCTAAAATTATAACGCTCATTCTCGATCATTATCTCTGCGCCTCACCTCTCTCTCCCCCTTTCATCCGCCGGTTGTTCTCCTTCTTTCGGCTGCAGTTGGTTCTCTGATCCTTCACCACACACCTCTCTACACCAGCCGCTGGTTCTTCATTGCTACCGTCGTCGCTCCCCATCTTCCAGGTTTTCTTCTCATCCCTTGCTCTTCTGCTCCTCTTCCGATCCTTCTTCTTCTTCATCCCCTCCTCTGTTTTTCATTTAGAAATCAAGCAAATCACTGATTTTGTTGTTTTTCCGAAGTTTTTTTATTTGATTCAATTTTCTGAGTTTTCACATCATTTTTTCTGTTTTTTTAGAAATTGATTTCGTAGATCTGATTTCAATTTCATTGAAAATTCCGTTTTTTTTATTTTGGACACTGGGTTCGTTTTTTGGCACAATTATGGCAGTTTCGTGTAATTTATTATGGCAGAAAAAACACATTTTGTTTTTTCTTCTTCTTCCATGTTTTTTCTTTTCTGTAGATTTCTTTTATGTCATCAATTTTTATGAGTTTTAAAATCGATTTCTCTGATTTCGTTAAAAACCCTGATGTCTAGTTTATGATTTTGTATATCGGGTACATATTTTGCCAACATTTTGGCATAAAAACTATTACTTTGAGATCAATTACAACATACTTCCACTTTTATGGCAAATCAAATATTAATAATGACAGAAAGATTCTAAATTTATTCCAATTTTATGGCAAATCTGATATACAACATGATTTTTTAGGTAACAAGATGGCAGATTTGCATCTACAAAACTGACAGAGATGGTTGGAGTGGGGCATCGGAAAGAGGAAAGGCCAGCAACAGCGGCACCGGAAAGGGAGGCGGCGGTTGGGTGGCCGCAGATTTTTTCCGGCAGCGGCATTTTTGTGGTGGCGGATTTCTTCCCAGCGGCAGTTGAGTGGTTTTGTTTCCGTCAAACGCTGGGAGATTGTTAGGGTTGTTTTTTTATTTTTATTTAATTGTAAATAGAATTAGAAATTCATTAAGGGTAACTTTGTCAACTAAATACATTTTTAGTCTTATTAAACATGGAAGTCCTATTTGTGCACTTGTTTATTGTTTTAGTCCTATTTAAGGCATTAACTCTTATAAGTACTATTCCAACGAATAACAAATCTTTAGGAAAAACACAATATTTGACACGTCTTTCTTTCAAATAATTTCTCCATTGCATCTTAAGTTGAGAACTAGCCTAAATAAGTTTAATCCCCCCCTTCACCACCCAGGGCCGGCCCTGGGCCTGTCTGCCCAGCCCAATCGCACAGGGCCTGGTTATTTGGAGGGCCCAAAAAAAAATTTAGTATTACCCAGCCCAAAACTTTTGTTTTTAGCCCAAATCAATTCCACAGCCTCAAAATCCTCAAATCCCGTCTCTCTTCCAACTTCCGACTCTTCGGCCTTCGCGTCCCTTCGCGTCCTGGTCCTGTCTTCGCGTCTTCACGACAAAGGCCAAAGGGAGTCAAGGGACACCGCCGGTCCGCCACGGCGCCGCGCCACTCGGCCCACTTCGCCAGACCGCCGTCCACACCGGCAAAGGGACACCGCTCGGCAGTCGGCTGCTCTCCAGTCTCCACGAGGAGTCGAGGACCACGACTCGACTTCAACTGCGCGCAGTCCGACACGCCTCCGCCGCCCGCCGCCCTCCGGCCTCCCTCAGACGCCGTCCTTCCGGTCAGTTACTAATTTGCTAATTCTTTTATTCATTTAGTTGCTAATTTTCTAATTCTTGTGAACTTTCAATTTATTGAATATTTGAATTGATGAATTGTTTGTTGAAATCTTGTAATTTGTTTATTTTCAGATTTAATGTTTGTTGAATTGTTGTGTTGTTGTTATTTGTTGGTTTTTTGCATTTAAAGTAAATCATGCTTTCACCCTAATTTTAAACTTAATATTAATTTAAAATTTATAAACATGTACAGGATTAGTAACTTGTATTGTAAGACAATTTGCTTGCGTTTAAACTTGAAAAAAGGCCCAAATTTTATTGTTGCACAGGGCCTCCGTTTTCTCGGGACCGGCCCTGTCACCACCTCCATAGCATCTTCCAACGCCGCTAGGCTGTCCTTTACACATAAATTTAAAATATGACATGCACAACGCTGATGAAAAAACCTACCCATCAAAGAAGATGAACCACACAATTCACGCAATCTAGAAATAGCAGCAGTATTATTAGTAGCATTATCAAAACCAATTGCAAACACCTTATTAATCAAATTATACTCAATTAAAATACGCTCAATGAGAATATAAATATTATCATCGGTGTGTCTATCATTAAATTCACGAAAAGCAAGAACACGTTTATGCATACACCAATCATCATCAATATAATGTGCAGTCAAACCCAAATAATATAAATGATGATGAGTATCCTCCCATATATCACTACATATACTAACACGTCCA